AAGATAATGAATGATGGAGGAATAAATTAAATAGCAACAGGCAACTCAGGATATAATGGATGTCAAACGACGCTAAGTAGGGTTTCAGTTTCGAAGTCTTTTTTGCCACACTTGTAACAAGCTTTTAGCTTACTTTGCTCAACATGAATGATCTAAATAATCTAGGTACCAGATGCAATCGTTAGTTTAATCTAGTTTCGAGAGTACATAAGTGGAAACGCTCTTTTGACGATCGGATTTCGTGTAATCTAGATTACTGGCAATCCAGATTATCTACAGCTAGTGGAAACAGGGTTTTACTATCAAACTCACAAATGGACCAATCAGAAGTTAGCTCTGATTTCCAGCTGACGGCGTCCTGTCCTAAGAAACCAGGCCTTTAAATATGTTGAGTTAGAAGTCCTCCATGCTTCCATATCAAATCATACCTCTGTCTTCTGGATCGGTTCAAAACTACTAAAATACGGAGTTGAGCAATAGTAGTCGTAAACACAAAATTGGGTCGGCTGTTCAACATCGGTTATAAAATAAAATATGTACCCATTCTAATGATAGAGTATATAAAAACGGCGGTGCGTTTTTTTCTAAGAGAGACAATTTACAACGCTTTTAATCTAAATGGATTCACTCTACAGTAAAAAGCTTAGCTATTAATTAAATGATGCGGTTCTCGGATATCGTTTGTTATTTATCTTATTTTAATTCTAAAAAATGTTTAGATAAGTGTTTAAATAAACTACCAGACTACCGACATTTATTGTGTTTTTAGCTCTATAGAAACACCGAAAAGCTCGATAATTTTTATTGAGGTACTTTAATAATGATTTTGCTAAAACTAAAACTAGTATCGTTTAATAATAAGTATTAAAATTTAGCAAATGTAGTATAATTTGGTAATTTTGTCATGAGCTTGGTATAAAAATCCTTTATTCGATTAAATGTATTTTTCAGTTTTCTATATTTTACTAGTGGGTGGTAATAAGCACTGTAATTTTAATAAGCAGAATTCCCTGTAAGCCATTACTGTATGAACAGAAAAATTTCCAAATGAGTGGTTTAAATAGCGTATATTTTGGTTTATTAACTAGAGTTTTTTTCCACTAGAAATGTCATTACTATACAGTGTGGACATTTACTGGAATTATTTTTCCTGTATATAAGCGATAAGTATCAAATAAACTACACTGAATATTACTACAGAATAGAATATTGTAGTTCTCTATTTTTTTTGTATTGCTCCTATATTTCATAATATCAATAAAATCTAAACGTCATTGATCACGATGTGATAAACGCGTGAAAGATATTTTTTAAGACTACACGTCAGCATTAAAATAAAAAATTGCACTCAGCATGATATTGCACAAATATTTTTTAAAAATATTTACCCCAAAGAATTATACAATGTGTTTCCATTCTAATGCTAAAACATTCAAAATAAGATGCATTTTTTTTAAAGCTGAACAAAATGGAAACACTTTTAAATGGGTTTAACGGCACGATAAAATTAAATGCTTAACAACTAGTTATATCTATAAATTGAGCTAATAAAATTCACTAGAATCGCTTGGTTATTTGTTTTATTTTTGTTCCTTAAGATGCTTCCATGTTCATTTTTCAAGAATGCCATGTATTAATAAAGAGAAAAGTACAATTTGTAAATAAAATTTCTTTTTAATTTAATTATTTTAATTTCCTTCAATTCTTCATGTTCTTAAATCTGTTTCTATGAGTTAAAATTTAAGCAATTTTGCAATTAAAAGCTTACCAACTAGTTAGATTGATAAATTTATCTTTTTCTTTTATTGCTTTTAATTGAGCTTATAAAATTAGCTGGAATCGTTTGATTATTTGCTTTATTTTCGTTCCTCAAAATGCTTCCATGTTCATTTTTTAAAGATGCCATATGTTAATGAAGAGAAAAGTACAATTTGTAAATTAAATTAATATTTAATTTAATTAGGTTAATTTCTTTTAATTTTTCATGCTCTTAAATCTATTTCTATGATGTACAAAACATATATTAATACAAACGAAACGCATCACTCATCTTTTGAAACAAAAAAGAAGAATAAATAAGGTTAAGAATTATTTCCTTTAATGCACAAATGCTTTTCTACAAATTGTTTTAAGAGAATTTTTCTGTACTCCGTATACAGTAAAATTAATCATATAACTGATGGAAATACGAAAAGAGTAAACGAATACGCGATAGAAACACTTTTCATGAAAATAGAATTAAAATAAATATAAGATTTGGGGTCGATTAGAAAGTTTTATGTTACTACACTATCGTGCAGAATTAAAACATTTTTTTATAAACATAAAACACTTACAGAAATTCATGCAATTCATCTTTGATTCAATGAGTATTTTTGAGTTAAAGCATAAAGAATTCAACTTAAAATCATTGAGAAATATAATTCATTCATTTTATTAATATATTCGTGCAAACAAAATATGACCAAGTCACTAAATTATAAACGGTAGGTTGTCAACTATTTAAATTTACTTACTATATGCATTGTACGATTCTCTGTTCCATTAAACTTTTTTTTGTCAACTGTTGAGAGAAGGCACTGCGACCCGTAGGCCGAGATGAAATAAAACTTATTATGATGACGTCATAGATAATTTCCTTATGATAAAGGTTTATGTTTTAGTTCAGCAGTTCATATGAAAAATCAGCAGTGAATCGTGGTAAATTATGTTTATGAACCTTATAAAATAACGTGAATAAATAAAGAATAACAACCTTGAAATTGTTTACGTGCTTATTTTGAAGATGAGAAAAGAAATTATGTAATGTTCTTTAACTTTGAAACTTAAAAATTTTTTTCTTTCCTCAGGTGCAGCTAAGTAGGTTTCGTGTCTGAATTACTCTATATACAATACACAAAACTATATTTTATCACTTAATTCATAGTTTTCAATACACTTTTTCGGATTTTGAGTCCGCTTTTTTATATTTTAAATAACAAAATAAAATCTTCTTTGAAATATTTTAGTACATAAGACATTTATTGACTGAAAAAGACATTTAATATACATAAATATACACAAATATTAAAAATATTATGCTTGTCACTTATTGTATATAATACAATAAGTGACATTTTCCTTTAAAATTAAGTAAGATATTCTCTAAGCTTGCACATGAGAGTGGTCTGAATGGCTTTATGACAAGGTTTTGGGACAATAAGTCATACTTTCAAATTGTTTAGTAGAGCATGTTCAAAAAATAGCATTGAAATTTCTATCAAGATTTTTCGATGTATTGTGCTGCCATCTAGGGGATATTTTAGGAAATATTGTATTCGACTTATGTTTATCTGGAAACAATACTAAGGTACAGTTTGACTTAAAATTTCATTTTTGCAAAAAGAGTAGCGTATTACTATACTGCTTCAAACCTTTACTTTAGGTATCGTATTTTACTTAATCATTGTTTATAAATAACCAAAAGAAAAAAAAAACCTCTGAGTGATGTGACAAATCTTTCAGGCGCGAATTCAAATTGACTTTAGCAGTGTTGTGAAAATCATCATAACTCAGTAAAAGTTATTTCACAATTTTGACTTTTTTTTATGCGCAATAGTGTTAATATTTGATCTTTTGTTTTCATTAAGTGTTTCAGAATGAGCTTACAGAACTTTTTTGAGTTAAATGAAGATGACTCTTAAGTTTTCAATACTACAGTCTCTCTGTAATAATCGATAAATTATTTAAATCTTGGAGAGGAATGGAACTAAGAGATGAGGGTGAGATTTCAAGATTTTGTTCAAATCTTCTTTTTCCGATTCCCTCGACCTGTTGATTTTCCTCGGTTGGAGTATTCCAGTTTTGGAGATTTGCAGAACCAAATAAGTTGAAAATAATTCCACTACTTAAAGCAACACCAGCTGAAATGTATAATACTTTGTTCCACTGCTGTGGAGTTTGCTGAAATTAGGAAAAAAGCACTCCATAGAATATATCAGCAGAATAAAGAATAAAATAAATATTTTTAAATGAAAGACTATTAGGGAAATAGATAGTTTGTATCTTGCCATTAATTATGATTATTGATAAATTAAGAGTACTAAATTGAATAATTTATAATATTTTATTTTTTTAAGACAAAACACTTTAAATTATGCTGAAACTTAAAACTTCAATAAAGTTAAAAGCCCTAACTCGAAATGATTGATCAATTCTTAGATAAAAAATATTATTAACTAACTGTTGTCAGCGGTTTTGTCAGCGAAATTTTTATTTTGTGTTATAATTGCTACTTCGATTTTCAGAAATTAAAATATTTCAGAATTCCCATGCAAGCATATATCCATAGAACGATCCATTTTGGGGATGAGTTTTAAAATAGTCTCATACTTAAAATCCCCAATTTTGAAAGCCTTTAACTCTAACCAGAAAGTTAAATACTATAGTGAATTTTCATAGTGCTTGCTTCAAAATCGGCGGAATTTTAAAGACTTATATTATATTATATTATATTATATTATATTATATTATAATATATTATACTATATTATATTATATTATATTTGCTTCAAAATCTTAAGAGACAGTTCTTTAAATTTTAGAAATTGAGTGATTTACTTTCAAAACTACTTTTCTCCTATATTTTGCACAAGTTAATTGAAAAGCATTAAATTAAATTAATTAATTTAAATTAATATTTTAAAAGTTAATTAGAAACTTACCTGGTTGTTTGTTAAGGATCCAACTATAAGTGGTATGATAAAGCCTGAAGCACTGGCCACGGTGCATGCTATTCCCATTAACGTACCTGTGGTTAGAGTTACGGGTTTACAAGGGATTTCGAATTTACTGTATGAAAAAAAATTATTTCGTGAAATACTTTCAAGTCAAAGATATTATTTTTGTTTAAATATTCGAAAATGCAGAGTCAGTTATTATAATAATAATTAAAGCTCAATTAAATTTTATTTTTGATTTTGTTTTTTTAAGTAACTTTTGAGGCTGTAGTGATCCAGAGATTAGAAAATCGGTTTCCGGCACGGAGGAACTGGGGTTCGATCCTCGACTCCATTAAGACTTACAAAGTACATGCGATATACGTGTTCCTAAAATCTGTGGAATTAAAAGTCTTGTGGTTAATCACTGAGCAGTATCTGGGGTAAATTTCCTTCCCCTTCAGATCTATATCTAAATGAAGAAAATGGCCTCACGATGCTGCCATCTATTCGTGGGGTTCAAAGCTAAGACGTACTTTTTCTCTTGGGGAACTGTTATGTCAAACGGAAGATGTATCTTCTTTACTTAAGTCGTAAAAGGCCAATGGCTGGCGAGTTAGGCTTTCCAAGTGTCATTAGATGTAGGAAACTATTCAAATATTTTCGCAGTTTTAGATTTTGTATTGAATTTTCCTTGAACATTTTTAAATTAAGTGGAATTGCTTAAATAATCATCAAAAATACTTTTTTTCATGATATAGAAAATGAGATACATAAATAATACTTTGATTAAATTAATGATTTCTCGAGGTGGGACAAAAATGTGAAAAACTGAGTAATATCAAAGAACAAAACTTAGAAAAACGCTTTCATGAAAATTCTGAAGTGACCATACTTTTTTGTTGTAAGAATTCGAGTAAGAGAAATTAAGTTTTTTTTAAAAAAAGAGCGTTTTTTTTTAAGCTAGACTTCTCAAACTAAGTCATCATTTGTACTATTATAGGCGTAGACGTAAAAATTTGATGAATAGATAAAAAAANAAAAAAAAAAAAAAAAAAAAAAAAAAAAAAAAAAAAAAAAAAAAAAAAAACTCAGTAACGGTTTGTTTCGTTTACTGCCCGCAGCAAAAACAACTAAAAGCAAATCATTCCCATCACAGTCCATTGCGAGGCAAGGGTTTTTGTTGGCTAGGGCTTCACAATTTCAAGACAAACACTATGATGATGAAAATGTCGTTAACATTAATATCCGACCACTTTTACTACTCAGACAAGCTACACTGTAAAAAATTCCGAATTAAATTACAGTAAAAAGTATCCGGTGCCCTTATTTTTGTGAACATTAAATTTTATTATACCAAAATCACTGTGTAATCCTAAGTAAATAAACATTACTATAAAAATTACAGTATAATATTTTACGGCAAAAATAGTTATTACCGCCAAAGTGCCGGTACTTTATATCGTAATTTGATCCGGAATTTTTTACAGTGCAAAATCCATTGATTTGAAACTGGATGGCCATCGAGGATTGGAACCCAATCATTTACAATAAGTTCTCATTGTCTTAACCACTTTGCCCTCACAGTACAACAAAGAGTACTAATATACACTAAATTGGATACTTTGCGAAAGTTTTGCACAAGTTAAAAAGGTACTGACAAAACCAGCTGGTAGCAAGAAAGGTTTTATATCAACTAATTTACAGTTCTCGGCAGGTAAGTATTTTTGTCTAACCTAGTAGCGTTTGTGGAATATGGAAAGATAAAATGTAAAGATTTTTGTTAAAACACTTGATGATAATGCTTACGAATATTTATGAATTTCGTGCAGAATAAAAATATTAATGGATCTAACCAACATAGACAAAGCAATAAGCTTGCTGAACTGTCGGTTTGAATTCACTGGTAGAATTTTATTTATTAGTTGTGTTCAGAGAATTTTTCATTATTTTTTTCATTTATGAGTTAGTTGATCATTGTAGTTTTGAAAAAAAAATATTCAGTTCGATAGATATTTTAAACTATTCAGAAATTTATATATTCAACACAAACGCGTTGAATATATTTTTATATTCAAAAACTTATTTTATTCAATTAAAATAAACCATTTTAAAGAGTTTCGTAAAAGGGCCAGTTCCATGGTACAAAACATTTTGTAAATACGTTCGACATTAAAAAAAATCGGCATTAAAATTAAAGTTAAACTAATATCAAAATCTATTCTATTTCATACAACACTATCACAATTTTTTATTAGAACAAAAGATTCATGCTTTTTAACTAAAAACTGCAAGTTTTTAAGGTTTTTAAACAGAATAATAATTTTGAATGTAACCTATATATGTTAAGTTATACTTAAATTTATGTTTATACACTGGTTATCATAAATTAAGGAAAAATCACAAAAATAGCGATAACTCTTTCAAAAGTAAGCCAAACCGTGCAAAATTTGCATATGTTGTCCACTAAGAGTAGCTGAGTAAAATTGCAATATGCAAATTAGTGGCGCTGCACTCGGCTTACGTCATCTGCCTGGAGCATAAAAGTCCAAGTTTGAGAGAAAGCACACAAATTTTACTGTGATTGCGACATTGAAAATCTGAGATAGCCAATTCGTAATAATGACCTCTAGGCATCATTTGCCTGAAGAACTACGATGGAGAGC